ACTTAGGGAAAGCCTTTTGTTCTATTTTTCATTGCAAGTTCTTCTATACTGTCCCTCCAAGCTCCAGGGGGAGCAAAGCCAGCTCTCCAAAAAGACAGTCTGCTTGCCCACTCTGAGCGTGCCTCAGCGCCTGACAAGACCTGCACACATGGAGGAACTATTATGTCTCCGCTGTGCTCCAGGCTGACAGAGCTGCAAGGCAAGTGGGGATTTACGGACTCGATGGTTTCATTCAATCAGCATGTGTGATGTCCTCCTGGACCGAGGCTGGGGAACTCCTTATGAAGACGAGCCTACACGGACAGTGTAATCATGTATGTGAGTGTACACACAGGCATCTGTGCATACTCAACAAGTGTGAATCAGTGTGTGCTGTGTAATCGTGTGTGCGAGTGTGCACACCCAGGCATCTGTGCACACTCGACAAGCATGGATTGGCATGTGTTGTATGTGCACACGCAGGCATCTGTGCACACTCGACAAGCATGGATTGGCATGTGTTATGTGTGCACATGCAGGCATCTACAAACACTCGACAAGTGTGCATCAGTGTGTGTTGTTTTTTGATCACTTTGGTAAAGACGCTTCAAGCCTTCTGTATTAACTATTTCCCTCGCCTCTGCCTTTGGTTTTATTTCTTCCTAAAGTTTGTCCTCAAAGATTAATCTCTTCACTGCAATGAGCTAAAGCGATGGGCCTTATTCCGTGTTTTTACTCTCTTTCTTATTTAGACAGTTGCCTCCGGGACAAATACTGTGTCTTGTTTGTCTTACACCATCCCCAGAATACCCTCCACGCTGAACAAATAAATAAGCAGTGGACTGGAGTCTAAAATTTACAGAAAGGGTTCATCTATCAAAACGCTGACTCCAGAGCAGAGTCAATTATCACGTATTAACCTGTTCCTGCTGGTGTTTCAGTGCCTTAAAGAAGGTTCCCTTCCTCTTTCCCATGCTCCTTACCCATCGCCGAAATCTTTACATGAAACTCAGCTTCTCCAAGACTCCAAAAACTGCTGGACGAGACACAGCTTGCATCTCTTTATAAAAGATGAAGACCCTGAATTCTGCTTCCCTTCCAGCCCTTGGAGGACGGCAGGTCGGGGAAGCATTCTCACATCCCTGTCTGACTGCCACAAGGCTGTAAAGCAGCTCAGGTGTTATTCCCATTTTAAAGGAGAGCAAACTGACAACCAGGAATGTGAAGTGACTTTTTATCAAATAGGAAGGGAGCAAAAAAGAAAAAAAAACTGAAGTAGCACTGAAAGGAGAATCTAAGGCCAGGACTCTCCCTTGTCTCTGGGAACTACTTTTCCAGCAATTAATTAACTCCTCAGCCCCATTTGGTGACAGCATCAGATCAGAAACCAACCGTTGTGTTTTTTTTTGGTTGGTTCTGGGGGTTTTTTGTGGGGGTTTTTTTTTGGTTAATCCTCACCTGAAGATATTTCTCCATTGATTTTTAGAGAGGTAGGGATGGAGAGAGAGATCGATGTGAGAGAGACACATCTATTGGTTGCCTCCTGCAAGTACCCCGACCGGGACAGGGATCGAACCTGCAAGCCAGGTATGTGCCCTTGACTGGGAATTGAACCTGTGACCCTTAGAGTGCAGGGGCTGACACTCTAACCACTGAGCCATGCCAGCCAGGGCAAACCAACGGTTCTGATACTAATAGCACTGAGGTGACAAGAGGAGTGTGGGTAGTGAGGAGGTGGGTAACACTGGCAACGGGAGTAACACTTGGGTTTATCTTTAAGTACCACAGAAGTTCCAGGCACTTTCATATACGATGTTCCATGTGCTCCTCAAAACCACCTTCTATAACAGTCACTGCAGGTGCCCTTCTACACCGAGCGCACTGAGATTCAGAAAGATCACTCTCCTTCCAATCACACAGCATCCAGGTGACCATCTCTAGCCTCCAGCAGGTCCTATCTCAGGTCCCTCGTCAGCGTGGTCTCACTTGGTCTAGTCAACCCCACCCTGCAGGCCCAGCTGCTACTGTGGGGAAGAAATTGAAAAAAGGGGGTTGGGCAAGATGGATAGATGAGGTGAGCTTCCGTGAGGGGATCTCAGAAAAGTACCTAAGAGGAGGGTCCCACCTCAGAGGGCTGGGCTCTCCTTGGGTGGCCTGGCCTGGGCTGGTTCCCAAGAAGGGACTCAGGCAGGGAGCAAGGTGCACAATCTTTTTCCTGGTCTCTCTGGCCGGTGGTGTCCCCCTAGCTCTATCACCCTGCCTTCAGGCACTGTTTGTCACACCTACTGGTTTATTTCTGTCTGCCCCCAGAAAGAAGTCTCTCCTTCGGGTTGAGGGTAAAGCTATTAATTTTTCCATTGTCCATGCAATCTGGGCCTCTGGACCCAGGAGGTTATCCCCAGGGGCTTAGCAGGGACAAGTCACCTGAGATACACTGCAGTAACTCTGCAACTCGTCCACTACAGTGGGTACAAAGGCACTTTGGCCAAATCTACCCAGTGGACATTGGCTTTCTGGTGGCAAGCTGTGTGAAGCTGTGGTTTGAGCACCTGGTGGAAATGCACACATGCATACACACATGTGTGCCAGTGACTTCTGGTCCTAACTTTCATCAACTCGCTTGTGACCCCGTTTCACATGCTCTCTCCTTCTGGGGTTTCAGTTTTCACATCTGTAGACTAGTAGGGGCAGCAGGCAGGGAGGAGCATCATATCACCAGCTGTTCAACTTGCAAAATTCAGGAATAAAGTGAGGACATGGGTTTCAAAGGACCTCAGAAATCCCCATCATTTCTGCAATTAATGCATATTATTTGATAATCAAGGATAAAAAAAAAAGAGAGAGAAATGTTCTGGAAATTATGGAAACAGCACCCAAATGGGGCAGTATTACCCTAGCATAGATGGCAATTCACAACAAGACCCGGGGCTAATTGTTCATTTAGAAATATGAAGGGGGAAAGGGAGGGTAAGTCAGACCCTGGGAAGTGGAGCTGTCAGTGTGCTCGTTGTTAAATAAAACCTACCAAGACTTAGCTGAGAATTTTAGCAGAACCCAAATGTGCTATATTAAAAAAAAAAAGGCAAGGCTCCCATCTCGAAAGTTCACAGCTAAGCTGGCTTAGAATCACACATGCCAAGGTTAAAAATAAAAAGCAGTCATCCCTGAATGACACGGGCTCTGGGAAGGAAGCCCGAGGAATGGGGTTGGTGGTGGAGCGGGAGAAGGGCATGCAGAGATGGTGCAGGGTACAGGTATTTATTGGAGGGCACCATATCTGACAACCAGATGCCCAGAATTTTGTGATTTTGCACTTAAAAAGCACTTCACTTTGGCAAAGGGTTTCATAATGATCTCCAGCCTTTCCCTGGAGGAAACCCTACTGTGCAATAGAGTATGACCAGGCTGGCCCTCACAGGGCCCTGCTGTTCCATACACTGGCCTGGCTCCGACTCTGTCCTTGCTAACCTCAGATGCCCAGATGGGATATCTGTGGATCACGGCTTGGAAAGCACCAGGCCTGACATTCCGGGCCACCCTATTCCACTGAACCAACCTAATGGTGCTGGGGCCACCCACTGGCCAGCTATGCCAGCTGGGCTCCACTGGAGACAGACGATATGCCTGTCTGCCTCCTGAGGGTGGCGCATGTCCCACCCTTGCCCCCACAACCATGACCATTGATGGCTAACTGGCAAAGGTGACAAGTCAGCTCTGTTGCCCCCCTTCTTGCAAATCCAGGGCCCCCTATTATGAGCCCAGTAGGGTCCTTCTAGTAAAGTTGTCCTTTGCCCAATATACTTAGGACTTTCTGCTTCCTAAAGGGTTTACTTTTATAAAAATTTTAAAAATTAGTCTCAGCTACTGTGCAGCCACCATGCTACCCGCTCCAGTCCCATTCCTATGCAGACGTTTCTAGAAGGTCTTCATCGGGTCAGGGGAACTGCAAGAAGTCTGTGAGCCATGTGTTACAGGGAACCAATACATTGCACCACCCCCAGGATACCAGGACCAGCCGACACATGGGCCAGGCCTGCACCACAGCACCATACAGGGCTTGAGAGGTAAACGGATGTTGAACAGTGCGGCCTCCACCTTCCAGCTGCTTTAGGATATCCCCAGACACCACCAGCCTGGCTGACTCTCACCTTCAGCAATGCAGGGGAGGAGTGGACAGTCTAGTATGACTGGCTGCCCCTACAACCCGGGGCCATCGTCATCTAAGTGCTCACCCGCATCCCCAACTCCCCGTCCTGGCGGCTGGGCTAGAAGCATCACCCAGATGCACTCACAAAGCACTTTAGAAAGGCCTAGGGAGGCAGGCAGGGCAGGGCTGCTTCTGCACCCAGTGTGATGGCTGAGAAAACCGAGGCTCCACGAGTTTCAGGCATTTGCTGAAGCTAAGTGACAGAGCCAAGCCTCAAACCCAGGCTTCCTTTCGCTGTTCTAAGACCACTAACTCAGGGCCAGAGGGACAGGGGTCCCAGCCCGGCTACAGCAGCAAAACCCCGGAACTGCAAATGAGCCTGCAGAAGGGAACTCTCATCCCGGCACCTCCCGGGTGCCCCCTCATTGGGCCTGCACTATGGGGACCTCGCCCAAGCACACAGCCCTGTGGCAAGGGGGTCGTCCTGTTCTAACTTTCCATCCTTCAGATGCCAGGAAAGACCTGCGGAGGGTCGGGGGGAGGGCTGTGAAAGGCAGCACGTGTCCTTCCTGCCGCTTTTCTGGGCATCTTGCTCCATCCCAAAGGCTGGACACGGAGTCAGTCCTCCGGCTCACCCTGAGTTTGGCTACGACCCTCCCTTCCCTCCAGGCGACTCCAGTGACAACGACCCTTTGCCTTTCAAGAAACCACGAGCCAGGGAAGAACGGGAAGTTCCAAGTAAATCCACCCTCTGTGTCCCCCCACACGTCAGCCTGAACCCACACAACGGGCAGGGCTAAGGGAGAGAGAAAGCGCGCGGGTGGCTCTGAGGATGGAGCCGCTGGGGACGGGCGCGGCGCGGGGCCCCCCTTACCTGTACCAGTCCAGCCCGCGCCCGTAGTTCCTGTCGAAGAAGTGGGGCTCCGTGCCCAAGGCCCGCACGTCCGGGTGCACGCGGATGAACTCCAGCACGGCGCGCGTGCCGCCCTTCTTCACGCCCACGATGAG